CCCCCACGTCAGGAAACACTGATTTATACAATGGAGTACATGAAGATATAAAAAGGAATAAGAAATATCACTATAGAGTACTTTGGGGTGCTGTCTAGGACATTACATTGTTAAATTTTAAAAAGCACAGGAGGGAATATCATCTGTACAGCACGTGTATTAGGATCCCATGGCTCTTGTACTAAATTACCACAAATTTGGTGGCTTCAAACAGTTCTGGATATCAGAAGTATAAAATATGGTTCACTAGGTCAGAATCATGGTGAGTCTTCATTTAGGGTCACTATCAAAGGAGGATCTAGGGGAAATGTTTCCTTGCATTTCCAGATTTTTTTCCTTGGCTAGTGGCCTCTCCTTCCATCTTCAAAGACAGCAGTATAAAATCTCAAATTTCTCTGCTTCCATTATCATATTGCCTTCTTTCTATTTCTAACCTACTGTCTCCCTGTTATGAGGGCCCTTGTGGGGTTGCTAACCATAAGGTCAGCAATTCAAGCTCACTAGCCCCTCTGTGGGAGAAAAATGAAGCTTTTTGCTCCTATAAAAATTCATAGGCTATCCACTCAAGTACTCCCTCAATGCAAGAACACTTAGTTTTATTAACCTGGCATTCCATGATGCTCACCTTCCCAACATGATCGCTGAAGACAAATGGGTGCATAAAACAAATGTGGTGAAGAAAGCTGATGGTGCCTGGCTATCAAAAGATATAGCATCTGGGGTCTTAACGGCCTGAAGATAAACAAGCGGCCATCTAACTCAGAAGCAACAAAGCCCACATGGAAGAAGCACACCAGCCTGTGTGATCACAAGGTGTCAAAGGGATCAGGTATCAGGCATCAAAGACAAAGAACAAGAAATCAAATCGTCGTGATTGAGGGGGAGTGCAGATTGGGGACCAAGACCCATCTGTAGGTGACTGGACATCCCCTTACAGAAGGGTTGCGGGAAGGAGACGAGCCAGACAGGGTGCAGTGTAGCAATGATGAAACAAACATACAACTTTCCTCTAGTTCCTAAATGCTTCCTCCCCCCAACCCCACACTATCATGATCCCAAATCTACCTTACAAATCTGGCTAGACCAGAGGATGTACACCGGTACAGATGGGAACTGGAAACACAGGGAATCCAGGACAGATGATCCCTTCAGGACCAGTGGTCAGAGTGGCCATACTAGGAGGGTGGAGGGAGGGTAAGGTGGAAAGGGGAACCGATTATAAGGATCTACATATAACCTCCTCCCTGGGGAGATGGACAACAGAAAAGTGGATGAAGGGAGAAATCGGACACTGTAAGATATGACAAAATAATAATCATCTATAAATTATCAAAGGTTCATGAGGAAGGGAGGGAGGGGAAAAAATGAGCTGTTACCAAAGGCTCAAGTAGAAAGCAAATTTTTTGAGAATGATGATGGCAACAAAAGTACAAATGTGCTTGACAAAATGGATGGATGGATGGATGGATTGTGATAAGAGTTGTATGAGCCCCTCAATAAAATAATTTTAAAACCCCCACTATTTGTCAAGATTCAATAAAAATGATTTCATAACCTTTTTACTGGTTAGGATTTAAAGTTTGATAAACACTGTCCTGTAGGAACTTTGCATACTATTAATAATCTGTAAGCTACATGAATAGCCACAACCCTTCCACAAATCTGTACAATAAGCTTACATTAGAATATAAAGTTTAAAAGGATGTGGTAATTTTTGCTGGTTAAGAAGAGTGTGATGAAATGCTTGACTTCTAACACATGGATCCCGAGTTCACTAGTGTTTCGCGCCATCTGTTATAGACGGATCCCGAGATAACCCGTGATTTCTACACTGTGCTGTCTTCAGACGCCATCCGCTTGGATATATTTTAACTACTTCATCTATTTAGGTGTCTACATCGGTAGTGAATGTATCAAACTCAATTGTCCTCATGTTGTTTTGTTTAGTAAGCATTTTAGTGCATTTTGGTTAAATCAAATAGTTACTGTTTTTGTCTTCAATTTCTACCTACTTTTAGAGAGGGCCTCATTCAGAAAACGGAAGGAAATGAAATACTTTCAGAAGTTTTTGACGATGATCATTCAGATGTTGAATATGAAGAAGCGATGACGGTGTGAATGGATGTTTGGTGGTTCTGAGGACGTGTCCAGTGACAGTGACATTATTAGACCCGCAAGAAGCATAATGCGGCAGAGCTTTTAAGTCTTCTGGCATAACGATGAAGGTGGTTCTGTTTCTGTGAATGATTCGTTGTGTAATCATGTTACTAACGACTGGTGTGAAATTGACATGCACCACCAGTTTGGAAATGTTTGAAAGTCATCCGGGGGTTATTATCTTTCCAACTCAACGTGACTCTGCAGCCTCTGTGAGGAGCTGGATGTTTGCGGATTTGAATTGTTTTGCAAGGAGTTGTGCACTTATCACGATCAAACCTCAGTGAAATGTAAACCATCACCTATGTCGCTCAAAAGTGGTCTCCCGTTACACAAAAAGACATGAGTAAATTCTTAGCCCTAATTCTTCTAATAGGACAAACAAGAAAAGATAGCTGGAAAGATTATTGGTCAACAGATCCTCTAATAGCTACCCCAATATTTTCGCAGACTACGAGTTGTAATAGATGTGAACAACTATGGACATTCTGGCACTTTAATGAAAACATGAAAATGGACGATAGCTCTGGAAGACTCTTTAAAATCCAACCTGTGCTGGTTTATTTCCTCAGTAAATTCAGGAGACTTTACAGACCACAGCAACAGTTGTTTTTGGACGAGGGGATGATTCCGTGCAGAGGACGCCTGAGGTTTTGAATATACAACCCAGCAAAGATGACAAAGCATGGTGTACTTGTTAGGATGGTGTGCGAGAGTGACACAGGCTATATCTGCAACTTGGAAATGTATACTGGTGCAGGGAAGAAATGGAGGAAACTGTTCTTTCAGTTCTTGGCCCTTATCTTGGTATGTGGCACCATATCTGCCAGGATAATTACTATAACTGTACCTCTACTGCTGATTTACTACTGAAAAACAAAACTGGAGTCTGTGGTACTATGAGAGTGAACAGAGGTTTACCGCTAACTCAAAGCCAAAGCACCAAGAATGAAGAAGGGTGACAGTTTTCTGTAGAAAGGTGACATTCTTCTCCTCATATGGAAAGACAAGCGAGATGTCAGAATGATATCAACAATTCATGATGCTTCTGTCTCCAATACAGGGAAGAATAGAGAAACTGGAGAGGATCTATTGAAACCTGTGTGTACCCATCAATATAATGCCTACATGAAGGGAGTTGATCGTGCAGATCAGTACCTCTCGTATTATCCTATTCTAAGGAAAACAATGAAATGGACAAAAAGTCATCCTTTATCTCATAAACGGTGGACTTTTCAATTGTTATAGAATTTACAATGCCCTGAATCCAGACTATGAGTCGTTATGCCAGAAGAAGTACAAGCAGCTTCTCCTTTCAGTGGCAAAATACTGGATTGCTGACGATGAAAATGAAGGCTCTCCAGAACCAGAGAGAGAGGTGTCCAGCCCCCCCCCAGTAGAGCAGGGAGAGCACCACGTACAGACCCACCAGGAAGGCTGTCAGGCGACATGAAGCAGCATGGACCCGTGTTCACTTCAAGCAATGGAAAAAAGAAATTTCCTACCAGAGCCTGTAGAGTTTGCACCAGGTATATTTGCAAATTTTGTAAGGTACCGCTTCACAGAGAAAAATGTTATACAAAGTACCAAACATTAAAAAAGCACTAGGAACTTTTGTTTATATATAGGTCCTATGCTAATTACATTATATGAAATAACTGTCACTGTTTAGGATAAAGTCTCCACAACTAATCAAACCAAAGGGCTAGGAGATCATTTGTGCAGTGTCTCAGGGATAATATTTGCACACTGTCTCTGGTTCTCAATGTAGTTGTAGAGCGTAGTTGTAGAGTATAGTAACAATAGTACATTGTATAACAAAGGAACATATCAACAAATGAATACTGGGGAACAAAGAACGTATTTTTTTGTTTGCTATACTGTGTTTTTATTGTTTTTCAAAGTGATATGGATTATGTTGATTATTTTTACAAGAAGTTTATAATTTCATGAAGATTATAGTTCATAAAAGTAATAATGTTTTGCATACATCGCAAAATATTGTTTCATAATGTGAGACAATGTTTTATATTCAAACACTGAAAGTTATAAATAAATATGATAAAAAGTTGATGAGATGTAAACCCATTTATGGTTTAATGCAAAAAAAACCCTAACAGCCGAAAAAATACACGGCCACTTGGGCAAGTTGGTAAAAAAAAAATCCGGTCTTTAATGTGCTAAGCAATGAGGGGTATGACGTCTGATTAAGATAAGCATCTTACTCAGGAGCCCTGAAATGTGACTCCGCAGTCTTAAAAGAGTCTTTAAGGAGCAAAGGTCTTTATTTTATGCAAGAGAATTCTAGTTTCCATCCAAGCCTAAGAAAGCCTTGCTTACACGCAGTTCAAGTCATTATTTATCTTAGTTACTAATGGATGAGATGACACGGCTTTAAACTAATTTTAAAGGAGTATCTACTCCATAAATCCAGTTACGAAAGTCATTTTCTTCCTAAGAGATTGTAGCCTCTAACTTTCAACTACAGAAAATTCTCTAGCTGACACCAAGTTTGAGTCTCTTTAAGAATGCTAAAGCTTTTTCTTTTTCATAGTCAAATATAAAACGGAATTCTTAACCGATTTTCTTATATTAAAAACTATTACTGTAACACAATCCTAAATCACTTACCATAAAACTATGAAGCTCTACCTACCATTTGTATACATTTCTTAGCTTAAGTGCCAGAGAGTCTATATAAACATCACTCTTAATATCATTTTCTATACGGCAGTGGCTTAATAAAATTTTTCATAAAACTATATGGGTGACAATCATCTAAACAAAGAAGCACACCAAAATAAAAATAACATTTATGTATATAAAATAAAACTGCCATTTACTTTTTACAAGACTGCCACAGACACATGAAGTTTTGCCCAGGCTTTCTCATGGGATCTCCAAGCTGACTGCATCCACTGAATGGAGAAGGCTGAGAGCTGCTGGGCTGGTGGCCCTGCACTTGCACGGCTGCTGACGGTGCCATAGGAGTGTTCTGTGAAAAAGTATAACGCAGTTTGTGAAATGACACTGAAAAAGTTTTATTTTATAGGACAGTCTTATAATCTGCTTACATGAATACATACATGTATAATCTACCATTCTGTAGAAAAGTCATTTCTTAAGGTAACTTGACTATCTTTAAAAATTATTTTAAAAGGTAACTCTGTTCAAAGATATTTTAGTGAGTCTGATTCTTTTATTAAATGTGAAAAGAACACAATAAAATTGCTGCTATTATCACAAAATATAAATGACCAAAAATTGAGATTTTTGATGCTTAATATTAGTAACAAAATTATAGATTAGATGAGAAATATAAATGTACACATTGATTTATATAAGTATGTTTTCACAAGATCCAAATCAATGACAAATCATTATTTCTTTGTATGTTCCTTTTAGATTTTTAAAGAATATAAAATACAGTAAAAGCTGAGAAAATTTCAGCTCATAGTTAAAAAATTATACACCTACATATTTATAATGTTGCAAATATTAACAAATTTGCAGTGCAGCATGGCTTTAAAGTAGTTCAATTATAAGTTTTGGTTGGTAATGCTAATAAAAGGTTTCTAATTATAAGTGTAAATCTTTTAAATATAAGCTAGTCTTCCTTCTATATTCATTCCACCCCATTCTCTCTACAACACATACGAATAAATAATTATGCTATAAAAATTTTTAGAAAGACATCTCATTTTATTTTTGACATACTACAATGGCAAAAATATTCTTGAATTTCTTACAGACACAGTAGCACAACATTTTCAAACACTGTTTAAAGATGATACATTATATATAGTCATTTATAAGGCAATACTGGAAAAGTGTTTCAGAAGAAAAATCATAATCACTTCAAAGAAAATCATTCACAACACAAAAATATAAGGTTATATAACGTGTAAGTAAAACAAAGAAAAGGTTCTCATCAAAAATGTGAAGTCATAAAAAACCTTAAGTTTTAAGCTTTGGGGGGGAAAAGAAACTTCTTTTTGCATATTAGAGAAATTGGTGGCTTGCTGGCTCGATAAATCAGGATTCACATTTTTCTTGCCTTTCAACCAACTTTGTATTTTGGATAATTTATTTAATCTCTCTGATCCCCATTCCTCAGCTATGCCCTAAACCAACTAAATCCACTTCCCTCAAGTTGATTCTGACCCATAGCAACCCTACGTAGAGAGGCTAAATCTCTATAGGAGCAGATAGCCGTAATTTTGTCCTGTGGAGTGGCTGGTGGGTCTGAACTGAGGGTCTTGAGGCTAGCAGTCCAAAACTTATTCCTCAGTGACACAGACTATAATTAATAAAATCTAACCAGTAAGGGTGGTCGAAAGACCAGGAAAGGTACACAGATGTAACTGTTACTATTATTATGCAAATCAAGACACGCAGAAAGAAAGGCACCACAGTTTGAAAGTAAGATGATCGATTCTGTTTGGTGACAGTGCTAGATTGCCTTTCAATAAAAGTTAATATTGGAAACAGAGCTGGCAATCACTACCTTTTATAAAAATTCTGATGCTGAGAAACTAGGTCTGTGGGGGGTGGGGTGGGGGTGGAGACAGAAAAGGAAGACAGAATTAGTGTATCATAAATATTAGTCAAAATTTCCTTTAAAATGTAAATATTAAATAAAAAATCAGGAAAATTTTAGCAACTGGTAATTATCCAAGAGGACCAGTTCCAGGCGCAGAGAAACTGGGAAGCAAACACCCCAGAGTCAACTTCGTCAGAGGCATCAGTCACTCAGAAGGGAGCTTCCGGATTCCCTACAGTAGCCTAACAGACGTGGGTGTAAAATCTACTATCTTCACTGTAAGTTAAGCTTTAAAAAAAGTTAAGAACCTGTATCCATGTTATATATTTTCTCATTGTAAACTCTTAACTAGTGTCACATAAGATGCAATAAGAAAATTAACAAATATTTTAAGCCAAATATAGTGAAGGATATGGCAAACATGAACGAAGTCAAGCTGTTAAATGATTAAAAGACTTATAAATCAAATGTAAAGTATAAAATATTTTTAAAAATCCAATTTAGAAAAGCTACTTAAACCAATTTAAGTTGGAAAAACTGAACATGAAGTAGGTTGGTTCAGGTAATAACTGGATATTGCCTTTTATTAAATGTTATTTGAGATTTTGGAAATACAAAGGTTAGTCAAAAAGTATTGCTACCAAGTTTCTAGTCCACACATGCAATTCCAAACAAAATGTGCTCAAAGAAATCTCTGTGCTATGTTGACAAGTGCAGACAAACTCTCAGTAATACACTTGTCTGCCTTACATTAGACTGCCTTACACACACAGCTCTAACCGAAAGCAATGGCTTTGAGAAGATCTACTGTCTTAGTTATAATTATATTCAAGGTGGAAAGGTCAGCTCAGAAGGCAACTGATTTTGGGGGAAGCCAAAGGTGTAATCTTGATAGATTTTCTCCAAGGACACAGGTTGATCATGGGCTTATCATGAAGTTTGAAGAAAATTGAAAACTACTGTGCTTGAGAAAAATGTGAGGAAAGTTGCTCTGAGGAATTTTCTTCCATTACAACAATGCACTTGCTTATTCTTCAAGAGTAACAAGGGCTGTCCAAAGAGAATTGTGCTGGAAAGCATTACCCCCATCAATTAATTCTGCAGTCTTAATCTTGTCCCTTCAACCTTCATTTGGTCCCACAAACTCAAAAAAAGAAAAAGAAAAAAAAAGCTTGAAAAGGAATGTGATTGGGATCCAGGGTGCCAAAACTGTCATTTTGACATGCTGTAAATGAAGAGTGCAAAATTCCTTGGGAAAAGATTATCTAAATATTAACACTGCTTTCAGAAGCATTTACAGTGGTTCTCAACCTTTCTAATGCTGCGACCCTTTAATACAGTTCCTCATGTTGCGGTGACTCCTAATGATAGTTATTTTCATTGTAATTCATAACTATAATTTTGCTACTGTTATAAATCAGGCGACACGTGTGAAAGGGCCGTTCGATCCCCAAAGGGGTCACGACCCACAGGCTGAGAACTGCTGATTTATACTTAGGAGGATAGGTTGAGAATCAATAGTTTCACATTTTGCTATTTTTGTTTAATAAAGGTTTCTATGATTTTATATGAATATTTTTTTACTTACCCCATGTGTTTGTATATATATGTATTCCTTAATTAGTAAAAACATACATACTGAATAACTTATTGGTGAGGTAAAGTAATGTTTGAAATTTGCTTTAAATATTGTGGGGGGGGGATGGTAGTGGAGATTAAATGACAGACAAAATGTCGATATATTTAAGATACATGGACAAATGGGGGAATGGTTATTCCTCTTTTCTGTGTGCTTGAAAATTTCTAAAATGTAAAACAAAAAAATCCTCAACCAAACAGGAAAAATCCCTCAAAATTATAACAAGTGTGAAATTTCTTGGGTGTTAAATTTTTCTTTGGCTCCTTCCTACATTAATTTCTTAAAACTATGTGTTTCCCCTAAATAACTTTTATTTACTAGAAAATCCTCTAACATTAGCCCAAGTCACACCCAAGTATAAGAGTATGCTTCAAAATTATGCTTGTTTTAAATAGCTAGCTCTTGAGAAATACTCTATTACTATCCTAATATACTGAGGAAGAAATAATTGTTTACAGTATACTTTCAAAATCCCTCTATCAAGTAACCAGAAATGTAATACTACACAAAGGATGTGATACAAAAATGCTGTGATTAAAAAAAAAAGTAAACTTAACTAAAATAGCTAATTACCACATCAGTTTCATGTCTAACAAAGGAATAATAATAATAAAATTACAGTCCTACTTTCCTTTATTGTCTTTCAAGAGTTAGCTGTAGTTGAACATATTAAAAACACTCGACAGTAATTTCTGATATAAGACTTAGGAGTTGGTGCTTTTAAATCCTCACTTTCCCACACACCTTAAACTTACAAAAACTTTAGAATAAAATCAAAAGTTAAATATTTCAATCTGAGCTATAAAAGCTGCATTCAAGATTTATTATACTAAAATTAAGTCCTTAATACTATGTGGTAATGAAAAGCTGTGTTCAATTCTAGTTACACATTTTGAAAGGAACTTAGTAAATCAGAACTGTGATGATGAATAAACTAGACACTGAAACACTGAAGGATGAACCGAAAGAGCTGGGAAGCGTGCAGTCTAAAGAGTAAGGAAAGATATTCTCAAACATTAGTAACGAGTGCAAACAAGGGTCAGACTGATGTTACATGTGACATAAAGGAGATTGCATTTACTCTACAGGTCTAGAGAGTACAGTTAAGATAGTAATAAAAAAATAAATCAGTGGAAAAGAGATCTTTCTGAGCATGAACACGCAAAATCACTTCAACTTAAAAAACCCCCAAAACCCTTATAAGGTACCTACCTGTAACTCCAATATCGCTTCATTTTCTTAAACTATCAATTTTTCCCATTTTATTAAGTATACAACTATAATCAATACTTATCAAAGCTTGTCTTTTAAGAGACACTGACATATAAACAAACATGATTGAGGGTAATACCATTAAAAGTTTACATTATAGGTCTACAAATTCGAGTAGCAGTGCTTAATAATAAACACAAACTTGAAGTTATTCTTAATGGTTTTACCTAAAATGATTTTGACTGAATACTTCCCCCTTGAGGCTTAACTGTCATCAAGTAAACTCTTGATTCTTGACCCGCCCTGTGTATGTGTGTGCTTGCCCACCTTTATACGCATGTGTGTGTTTGCGCATGGGCGTGCATGTACAACTGTGCTTCAAAAGATTTCCGTGTCTGACTTTTCTGAAGTAGAATGCCAGGCAGACCATTATCCTTAAATGTCTTTGGGTGGACTCAAACAGACAACCTTTTAGTTAATTAGCAGCTAAGAGCATTCTCTATATGTACCACCCAGGAACTCCCATATGTACAGACATTTTAAAAATCCAGGCAAAAATGGCAATGGTTTTCACTTAGGTACTTTTTAAACATCCAACAGC